ACATGAACTTGGACCATTGTGTAATGGAACTGTATTTTGTCTTTAGTTGACTTTGGGCTAATGCATAAGATAATTACTGTTCCAGAGAAAGTGTCTTGCGGATTACATATTCATCAGCCTTTGATGAGTAGTGATGAACCGCAAGATATGAGGCAGGCGAATTAAAGATGACGAAAAGTTATTTATACTTGTGGAATTATTATCATGGATATTTCCATATTTGTGTAATGGAATATATTAAAATCAAAAGGCTTTGAAAATAAGTAAATACATAAGTTATTATTTCTTATCAATTTTCTTCAACGTTTCTTCAAAAGCAGATTATTGCCCTGCTCTGTATATGGAACTCCAATGAATTACCCAACTTTGGTGTTCACCTAGCAGACAATAAACCTCTCCAAAATTTAGCTATCACACTCCGTGTTCCTAAACGACGAACGTGTGAATCACCTTTTGACAGCTCGTCACATCTGCAATTAAAGCAATTAATTAAGTTGGTCTACCTCGAACTACCAGAACTCGAACTGAAAAGGAAAACGATAGCCTGACGAACCTCCCAACCCAAAAGCATTATTCTAAATGCCAATTACAGTTGGAGTTGAAGCAATGGGTGGATATATAGGAGGAGAGCTGGCGCAAATTGCTTCAAATCCATGGCGGATAGCTTCCATTCTCCAACACTTTTGCTCTGCTCGCTGTCGATTTCCAACCATTTTGTCTCTATGCGAGTGGGCTTATGTTGGCACAGGCATTATTCGTAACGAGCGACATGATCATAAAAATAAACGCAAAATATAACACAAAACGCAAACACAATAATGGCCTGGGAGTGCCTTAGTTTTTATTTTTACACCTGTTTACAAACAAAGCAACAACAAAAGCGAACGGAGGACGAGCAAATTTGACTGTGCCAGCACGCACACAATTAAATTTCCGGTACAACATCTACATGGGAATGCCCCGAAAAACCCTCCAAGGCCCTCGAAACCCCCCTTAAAATACACTTTGATTTCCGTGCCACAACTCTCTGTGAGTGTGTGTGTGTGAGTTAGTGTGTGTGTGCAGCGTGTTTGAGCCATTAAAATTACGCCTAACGCAGTTGCAAACACACCCAAACTCCCGCAAGCTGATACACTCGTAAAAAAAGGTCAAGGCCACAAATTCCAGGATTTCAATAAAGCATATTCAGAAGATTTAATTTTTGACAACTGAATTTAAGTTGGGTTTTGTTTTGGATTACTTTTAAACAAAGAATATTTTTCTAAATAAAAACAACTATTTAAAACATACTAATTGGACTGAGGTTAATCGAGCATGTACTCTTACTTTTTACATAATCACAAACTAATAAATTCCCTTATTGCAGTTTTCTCAGTGCACAAATAGGAGACGTAAAAATGTGCGAGGCTCACGCGGCGTATGAGTATTTTTCCAACTCACTCTAACTGCTTCAACACGTTTCATTTGAAATCCATGGCACGTTTGCTCCAACAACACCACCAGCACCCGGAGACAAGGAGCAATTTTCAATATTCCTGACGCCCGGCCGGTGGGCGGTGGGCGTGGCAGGTGGCGGAAATAATGCGGCGACGACAATGCCTGAGTTGCTGTCAAAATTGGCAAAAATCGACGAGGCCGCCGTCGCGCTAACTAAAAATCAAAGGCGTCTTTGCCTACTTCGATTCCTTGGAGGGCAGCTACGTGTGTGGGCCATAATATTTATGCTGCTGCACAAACAGCAGCACGAACTCCTGCAAACTTGGGTACACTCAAACGCACACGTTACGTATACGTAATATTTGCTCCGGATTATTACAGGCTGGCACTTGAGACGCGCACACGTCGCACCCCCAATAAAAATGTATATATGTTTAGGTATGTGCCTGTGCTTAATAATAAAATTTCGTTTAATTTCGAGTTTTGAATTTCATTTTTATGATTCCTTTCGCTTTTTTCGCATTTCCGCCGCTTACTTATTTTCTCTGCCAGGTGTTTGCCGTAACGTGATAAAATTTTAATTATATTTTCTGCACTGAATATTAGATATTTACTTTGTTGCCACTCAATGTAATTTGATTTTTGATGTTCTTTATTTAGTTTAACAAAAACCCGTAATGGGTTTGGTTTTGACGATCTGAGATTATCTGAATGGAATATCTACCACTGCTTTTGAAATTAAATAAAATTAACATTATTATTATCAATTAGTAAATTTATAAATATGACATTTAATTTATTGTGTCATAGCACCTTCAGCTAGCTATTATCTTAAAATTGTTTAAGAATAAACACTTATCAAGTACTCCAACGCTTCTAAGAAAATCAGCAGTTCTTGGAATGTTTACTTTTTCTTGGGTGACACATCCCGATTGACACATGTCATGTCAGCTATTTCCGTTTGTAAGCCCTTAAGATAGCTCGCGAAAAATCCAATTAAAAAAATCTTTTGCAATCTACACTCTTGACCGTTAAAAGAACTGTAGAAAGCTTCTATAAACACAATTAAAAACAAACGCTTGCAATCTGATTTCCTGAAATAGGGGATGATAAAAAAAAGAACTACAAATAATTCAGGTACTCTTTAATTAGTACTGACTTAAGACCATCGCTATACTTTCCGGAAATGCATTTTGGGGCTTATAAATTTCATTACGGAAAAGCGAAAACCTTTTGACATTGATGTCGGCTTAGTCTGTCTAAGGACTCGACCGGACAGAGGACTGACTGGTCTGATGCTTTCTGTCTGATGTTTGTTTATCTCCCTTTTGGCTTTACCTAATGGACGCCTGCCAACAGCTGGCAGGGCACTTTGAGAAACTCAACATCGTCGCCGGGCTCCTGCGAATGGAAACATTGTATTCGAGTCAGGTGCGTTGTGAATTTTGCTGCAACAGTCATTATAATAATGCCACAACGAAGTGTGCTCGGAAATAATAATCAAGTTGGTCGGGTGCTTGGGGAGAGCAAGGTGGAACCCAGCTGCTGGCACTTGATGGTTTCGTGTAGGTTGTGGGCCAGCCAACACACTTCAAATTTCATTTAAATATGGACTTCTCGTTGAATGTGCAATCGTGCATTGTTGCACTTCTGCTGGCACCAAGTGCAATAATCGCCTCAAATAATAACTTTAAGTGCATAATTTTATAAAGTTCTCACTGGTTCCGTAATGGCTATTCTTGCAGTTGAAAGTACGTGAGCACATTTGCCTTTGCTTTAGAAAGAAACTCTTAAAAATTGAGTCAAGGCAACGCAAAACCACATTTGTATATATTTTTTGACTTAATCACACATTTCTTGAAGCTATAACGTTTGATATATTTTTAATTTACTTTGAAAAATAGTGTTTTTAGGTCTTTGAGAGTCGCTCGATTACAAGTTTCAATATCAAAATTTTTTTCAAATGAAATAGAATTAATATTTTAATTGTTTCACTTAACTTGGATAACATAAATGTACTGTTTTCCCATGCCATTTCTAAAAATAGTTCCAACAGTTTAATTTGATTATAACATTTTATAACCAAAATAGCCGATACCTATAACAGAAATCATTAAACTGTAATGCAGGTTAAAAGCATTAAGCGTCCAAAAAAGCCGCATGGTAGGCAGTTGCCATTACATTCGATTACTACAGCTGTCTGTTTCGAGTCAATGATTTGGGGCCTTTTCTGCCGCATTAAATTTGGATTTAATTGATTTTGTGCAAATTATACAATAATTATATCCTTCACAAGAAAGGAAAACTGCTAATTGTTACTAATAATTGTTTAAAGCATATTTAATTAAAATGCTTTCAGTTATTTAATATTCGTTTTTCTGTCTTAGAAATCTCATAGTGCGCATCAAATATGAAAAAGTTAAAAGTCAATCAAACTTTTTAATTTTCATTTACATTAAAATTATGTTGGCATTTATTTGCGTTGCCATTTGTGGGGTGCCGCTTGGTGCTTTTGATAAAAAATTTGCATATAACAATTTTTCTCACTTTACTTTCCGGAAAAGTTTTTCTTTTCCATTTGCATAACTCAACGTATAGACAAACAGAAATTTGAGGTTGGAAGGAGAGTGAAACCAAAGTGCTAACATTAAAAGGGAAAGTCACGAAATGCAAATATGAATCATACGCCATGTGTGGCAAATGTGTTTAAACAAAAATTTCGTCTGTAAATTATAAAATAATCTGCAAGTATAAATAATTATATACGACATAAAGGGGAAGTTTAAGAGATAAAAATTAATGGGAGGGAGAGAGGGCATTGTCCCGAGCTGTTAAAGAATTATTTGTTTTTATTCGTTACCATTCAACATTAGGATAACACAAGTTAACCTGAGCCTAACCAAATTCATTAATTATAGCTTTTAAGTATACTTGCGCACATATTTTTTGACATATGTATGTTTATTTAACGCGATCGACAATAAATAATTCACGTGCTAAAATCTTCGCGATATCGTCATTGTTATACTTTTTAGCACTTTTCTTGATAAATAAATATTGGTTAACAGTCATTTGCTTAAGGTCTAGCTTACAAGGTAGCTTATTTATCGTTTATAAAACTTAGCTGTTTAATTACTTTTCAGTATATTCCATCAGTAAATTGGATTTGTAAAATATAAAATAACCTGAATACCTAATAAATTATAAAAGTGTTAACATCTACGCGATATCTTCAATTGTTACTCTTCAAATGAACAGACTTTTTGGCACATTTTTCCAGCGTCTAATCAAGATATTATCCAATTAACAGGTCTGGGATAATTGAGATGGCGTCAGGGAATTGAGCAATCAAGCCAGGGGGCTTAAACTAGATATGTTTTATTACAGCCCAAAAACACTCCCAGCCAGCCAGTCCGGCGAGAGCGATTGATATGGCGAGCGAGGCGCGAGAACCCAAGCGGCAAGCAAGTCACAATGCCAATTGAGGCTCTGATGTGTATGGCAAACAAGAGCCAGCAATCTGCGATGCGATCTCCAGATCATTATCAGTGAGATGAGCCAGTCCGGTGCTATCATTCGACAGTTGCGATTTGTGGCGGTCAGACGTGCGATAATCTAAGGAAGTGTATTACAAACAAAAACTAGCTGGCGATGTATCCGCAACTGGAAACGGAAGCTGAGGCTCTGGAAAAGGCCACTGCGCGGGCTCTTCTACCAGGTGCCATTAGCAAGCCGGCAAGTGAAGCCGGCAAAGCTCCAACCGCCAGCAAGTGGAAGCGACGCCTGCACCGCCACATTCCGGTCTTCCAATGGCTGCCACTTTACAACACCGAGTGGGGAATCGACGACTTCATAGCCGGCGTCACCCTGGGACTCACCATCATTCCGGAGAGCATGGCCTGTGCCCTGCTGGCGGGACTGCCCGCTCGCTATGGCCTATGTTCGGCCTTCATCGGACCGTTGGTGTATATGGTGTTTGGGTCCATCGATAAGGTCATCATCGGACCTACCAGCCTGGTGGCTCTGGTTAGCGTCCAGTTCACCGTGGGACGACCCATCGAATTCGCCTTTCTGCTCACATTCCTCAGCGGAATTGTGCAGATCATAATGGGCACGCTGAGAATGGGTAAGTAAAGACACACTGTAGGAACAGATTAGATTTTAATTTAGATCAAGATAAAATGTCCTACCTATGATGCAAAAACAGATCCCAAAATCATGCAACAAAGCAAATTTATTTCTTTCTTATTCTTAAGAAGCTGTTAGTTTCAAAATAAACCTAGTTTTATGAATTTGTTTGCCTATGCATTATGCTAAATACATTTTAAAAATAAATTAATCCAATTCAATGTGATACTCAGGCTCAACCGTTCCGGTATAAAGTTTGTTTTATCTAAAATAGAATTTTAAAATTTATCTACAAAAAATGCCCAAGTGCTCCGCGTCTAGGTATCAGCTGTATTATTTGATAAATTGACTTAAGTGCGACATTTGTTACTTCCCCATGAACTTGGTCACAGTCCGCGCCAATTGAACTCAAATAGATCCGCTTTAAGCACCTAATTGAGTGTGCTGCGTGATAACTGTTGTGCGGTTTGGTCATGATTAGCGCTATTTGCCTCAATTAACACTTCTTCGAATGAGATTCGATGTGTAGATTTGCATACGGAACTGGAAAAGATCCGAGAAAACACTGAGGGGGTGCTCTAATAAAAAACACGAAAACATGTGTCATTGAAACACTAATTGGAATGTGGGTCAATGAGTAACTTCGCTTTTGGTTGATTGATTCTGTTTAGACTTATCTTTAGTTTGCCGGTATTATTTGTATTTAACTGTCTTTCAACATTGAATTATTCGTATATTGCAGGATTTATCTTCGAGTTTATCTCCATGCCAGTAATCAAAGCCTTTTCCTCGGCCACTGCCATTCTGGTGATAGAATCTCAGCTGAAAGTCCTTTTGGGCATTAAATACTTAGTCGCTGGCTTACTGAACTCGATTAGAATGCTGAGTTCCCGCATTGAAGATTCCAATATGGCTGATCTCACCGTTGGCGTTTGTGCCATTATTTTCCTGCTCCTATTGGAGGTAAGTTTCACGAAATAAATTTAATTATATATACAATTTACAATTTTGAATTCTCCTGTAGTTTTTGGATCGTGTGGCTAATAATGAAAATCGCAACAAAATTCTGAGGATCTGCTGTCGATACTTGTCTACCTCAAGGAATACTTTGATTGTACTCATTGCTGCCATTGTCTCCTATATTTGGATTCAAAAAGCTGGCCAAGTACCTTTTGCTCTTAGCAAGAATGCCTTGGCCACCCTGCCCAATTTCACCGTGCCCAGCTTGGCAATTGTAACACCAGAGCGAAGCTACAGTTTCTGGGAGGTATTGAAGGAACTGAACATCGGTATTGTAGTCATACCAATTGTTGGCATACTAACGAATATATCGATTGGAAAGTTAAGTGAGTATGGGATACAGAAACAAATATGTGCGTATTTGTTATTTGTTTAATTTTCAGCTCCCAAGGGCCTGGTGGATACAAATCAGGAGCTCCTCACTGTCGGCCTCTGCAATATGTTCGGATCCTGTGTGCAGGCGATGCCTTCGTCAGGAGCATTTACCCGCTACGCCATTAGCACTGCCTGTGGCCTCAGGACTCCCATGGCCAATCTGTATTTGGGTAAGTCCAGCGGAATGTAAAGGCGCGAAGCCAAAACTCCATTTCATTACAGCATGCATCAGATACTGAGGAACAATAGATTAAAAGAATAATATAATAGGTTCAAAATGGATTGCTTTAAAGTAAAGACTTTCAAATGATATTCACAGTTTTTACACTTTCAATCTTTTATTAGTAAACAAATAATTCAGAAATATTTTCGATCATACAAATTTGACAAAAATTAACTTTAATCTATTAAAATTGTGACGCAGATATAAATATTTTGTATACATATTTTTGTACATTTTATGTGTTTAACAGTCACCCCATTTTCATTAGATTTTTTTTCCATGTGTAGGCATTATTGTGCTGCTGGCCTTAAGCTACCTTAGTCCGTACTTCAACTACATTCCAGAAGCGACGTTGGCGGCCATCCTTATATGCTCGATATTCACGTTGCTGGACTTCAAACTGCCGCTGCGATTGTGGCGCGATTCAAAGCGCGATTTCGCAACCTGGCTGCTGTGCTTCTTGGTGTCCGTTCTTTTTGGCGTGGAGGTGGGCCTGTTCGTGAGCATCGTGGTGACCGCCCTGCACCTGCTCTTCCTGTGGGCACGGCCCGAGATCCGGGTGAAGATAGAGCAGCTGGAGGAGATGCAGTATATCCGGGTGACGCCGGGCAACGGCATCCACTTCCCGGCCATCAATTACCTGAGGGAGCGAGTGCTCAAGGCTTGTACGCAAGCGGACTTCAAGATTACAGTCGTGATCGATGGACAGCGCATCAGCGGCATGGACTACACCGCGGCCCAGGGAATATCGAAGCTGTCCAGCGATCTGTGCCGCCAGGCGGACGCCTCCAGCTCCACACTGCTAATCCTGTTTAGATTTCCGGAGCACTTGCAGCGCCTCATTGATCACACGGACAACCTGGTCTTCTGTGAGAGCGAGCACAAGGTCAAGGAGTTCCTCACACAGGAGTCCCTGCGCAACGGCTACATCAACCTGAAGGAGCACATAAGGGCCTCCATCGACTTGGGCTACACAGTCGACATCGATTAGGGGCACTCGCCCCCTAGTTAGCTGTTTGTGTTATTTATTTAAGTTTAGTTGGAGAAATTGTCGTCCATGGCTGGCTGCAAATGGAAATAAAAGTGAAGAAAAAGTGGAACAAATGCCTTGATGGCAGCAATTTATAAAATCCCCCCAATCCCCCGACAACTGACCTCTGGAGGACGTTGGCGAGCAGAATAGATGCGGTGCGGTGCCGCTGGCGACGCCGTCAATGATTTCCAAGCTAATGGATTTCTGTTTACTTTTTCACTTAGAGCGGCCGCCAAGGAGGCAAAAGAGGATTGGTGGCAAGAGCAGGAGCAGAAGCAGAAACAGCAGCAGCTGAAGCATAAGCATGAGGAAAAAAACAAGGAATTGAAAAACAGTGCAAAAGAAATTAGAGAAAAGGGAAAGCGAACAGCTAACTTCCTTAACCAAAAAAAAGAACAAAATGAAAACAAGGTGCGCTAGAAAAAGTACAAAAAAGCTGCTTAAAAGAAACTGCAAGAAATTAAACTAAAATCCTAGCGTAAAGTGAATCAAACGCAATAAAAACAAGCCATGGCATAAATTAAGTTAGCCAAGAGCGAAATCGGACTACTCTGTCAATTAAAAATGCGATCAAAAGTGGTATAAAAATATATGTTATTAAAATGTTTCTCGCATTTCGAAACTTTCCTATTTTTGTATACTTTGTGTAAAATATTATAGCAATTATAGCAAACATATTTCTTACTTAAACATCATGGAAAGCGGACAAAATTGTTAAAAGTTCCAAATATATATAAACGTGGCTATAATGTAAGTCATAGGAAAAACTAAAATTAAGATGAATGAATATACAAACACTGGTAGATTTGAATTAATATTATGTTATATTGTAAAATAAACCAAGTTTATGTCAGTTAAGTTATAGAGCATTAAAAAGAAAGCAACGAAATCTAAAGCGAGGCGAGTTAATTACGTAAGGTTAAGGAAGCGAGAAAGAGAAGGGCTTACGGAATGCGAAAGAGAAAACAGGCTAGTTAGACCGAGCCACTACGAGCGAACCAAGTCGGGCTTCTAAGTAAATTTTAAGCACTCGAGGCGGTGTAAATGAAATGCGGTGCTTCCCCTCCAACGAACCTTCATTCTTAGCTGTTGTTGATTGCATTGGCAAACGAAGTGAGCAGATTTAATGAAATTTAAAACGCTGTCCGGAACTAGTCCAAAGGAAAAGCGAAGTGGGATTGTGCGGTTGGCCGAATGCGGATTTGCAAGGTGGCCAAGTCAGGACCAGGCTTAAATCCAGGCCAATGCAAATTTGCAGACAAACCGTTCGCACTGCTAATTATTTCAATGGACTCTATTTGCGAAGCATTTCAACTTGGCTGGCGATTTCCGCATTGTTAGGCAAACGGGTTTTTTAGCTTTCGGAACTGCAAGTAGAGCAAAAGAAATTAGGAGAATTATCATATAATTAATATGCTAATCAACCAATTGATGGAGAAATCACTTAATGGCCAAAAACCAATGACCATAACAGCGTCAATAAACTGGCCATATTCATGTCGACATGCCACAAAAACCAAATATCATTCAAATTGCGGTCCATGCAATCAAATTTTCACACACAACAAAAAAATATACAAATTATCAAAATCGTAACAATTTTGAGTGCATACTCTTGCGGCCGTGGGGATCAAACAGAACTTGTTGACACAACCCGCCCGACTTTGCCATTCCCTCTGATAAACAAACACAAAGCCGAAACAAGCCAAACCGCATTTGTTCTGCGCCTGTTTATTGCTAAATGTGCAATAATTTTTTTGCCATATTTTCAAATAGAAAATGCAATCCAGTTGCCAGAGATCGTGGGCCAGTTTAATAATATTTATTTTCACATGCGGTTAGCAGCATAAAAATAATTTGCTTTGTGCTCAGTCGGGTTACGTTTAAAAAAAAATATATTCTTTGTTCAATTTAAGAGTAGAAACATAAAAAAAGGTAACCTTTGTCTGGGCTACTGAAATGAATTAAGTAATCAATATTTTTTTAGATGCCTATTTCAAAGAAGAAACAGACACCGGGCAAAAAATACAAATTAAATTTTCATATGAATTATTCTGCTGGTCACGTAACAAAAGAGGTTACGGATAGGACATGCGAAGTGGAGTCCCAGTGGGGAATTGCCAATTGATACGTATTATGTGACTGGCTGACCAAAGCACTGACCAAATTTCATTTCCCTTTGCCTCCCACTTTCTGATTCTCCACCCCTGCTCTTTGGGAAAACCTCCCCCCTTTTTACCACCAGCAGCATCTTAATTGCTTCGCCTACGCCAATGCGACAAAACGGCAAAAGACATAATTAATAGCAGCGAGGGGCGGAGACTCAAGTCTCTCGTTTATCGATTTTCATCACAAAAAGGAACTTCGCCAAAGGCAAAGGCAAAGGACTCGTTTCGTCTGAGACTCACTCAGCTCGCCGGCAATTGGCAATTGGCCTTTGGCCATAAAGCGTTTTAATATGCGCTAAAGTAGTCAAAGCTTAATGGGAAAATCGGGGATCGGGGGAAAATGCGAAGTAAACAGCCTCGTGTTTGCCTGCTTAAATTGTTTAAAATGTCAATTCCATTGCGCCTAATTAAATGCCCAAAATCCTCAAGGACAACAGACTCGAAGCACAAATTCAGAGGGCATAACGAGGCATAGCAAACACAAACTTCCACAACAAGTACAATGAAAATAATTAACAATTTGTACAAAAACCCAATCGAGAGCGATGCCAGTTAAACAGCAAAATTGCTGAGGGCATTTAGTGATTCTTCAATTGTTAAAATATAGCTTCAGGCGGTTGTCTGCTCAAGTGCCTTGCCGCATAAACTGGTTGGACATTTAATTCCAATTACAAGTCCATTTGTTTCGTAGGCAAACAGGGATTTTTCTTGATTGATTGGTTTCGGCGTAGGGCAAGGCTTTAAGTTTTGCATAAACATTAATATAAATAGGCGGAGAACAACATAAATTAAGATTAATTAAAATCATGTATAAACTTAAAACTATATATTAATACGATTTTATAAGCTTTTTCTCGGTTAATTAAGTTATATGAATTTGTATATGACTTTCGTTAAACTATTTGTGTACTATTTAAACAAGTTCAAATTTATTTTATACAAAAATATTTACAGAGCACTGCTCAAAAAAGCACTCATTCATCAATCATAAATGCAATCAAAATCTTTAGTTAATATGAACGAGCGGACACTTGAACTGGGCAAACAGCTGCAACATTGCGAGTATAAACATTTTTGATACGAACTGCAACAGCTTGATGTGATTGCACTTCACTTGAAGGCTCAGTTATTAGAGTCACTCAAAACAAAAGTGGGACAATCAAAATGTGGCCTAAAATAAAAGTTAATGCCAGCAACAGTTGCACTAACACTTACAATAACCCACTCAAATGTATATATATACCTCTTAAAGATACCATGGCCAGCTGTGGCTCGGCTTTATGGCTGCAGCCACCCACCATCTGGCATAAATTCCTGCTTCTTTATTCTCCTTTCTTTATATGCCACTCCTGGCTTTTCCATTGTGGATTGGCTTAAAGCAGCCAAAGTTAAGCGAACATCAAAAGCCAACTAATTTGGCTGTAAAAATAACATTAAATCACATTCAAGAGCAACGAATAAAGGAGCAATACGTATATATATCCGCATATAGATAGAGGAAAATCGAACACACACATGCTAGGGTTGCGCTGAGGTAACTACTGAGGTAAGGGTACTGGCACTCCCCTTTCGCTTTTCGCCCCATCACGATTTGGTCTTTAAGCTTATGTTGCACTTGACTGAGTTTTATGCTTTGATGCTCAATGATTTTATTATTAAAAGCAACTTGTCCCGGTCCAGGGATTCGCTCCCTGAATTCTGCCCCGTCTGTCTACTCTTTTTCGGGGGTTGTCTTTTAGCCACCCTTGGTCTAGACTCGGAAAATTGCCAACGGCTTTTCCGGCTGCTGCAGCAGCACCTTCACCTTGGGAGTCGCTTAGCTGTCTAAATATGTCACTTGAATTTGATGACGGCCACTTGCGTAGCAGCAGCGGAAAAACTGTTGCCTCTCCTCCACTTTTACACCCACCCATCCACACATGCGATTAAGTTTCTCCCCTCTTTGGCTGAGCTCTGTTTTCTTAAAATATTAGTTCCCTTTTCTCCGGCTCGGTTTTCTTCTTTATTTTGTTTTTTTTTTTTTATTTCGTTCCTGGCTGTGGGGAAATTGTTTAGCTGCTTTTTATTGTCATCTTTGTTATTTGTTATGGCCATCCTCACTCCCCTGCTGCCGTATCTGTATCTGCTATTTGCACAGACTCAGTTACTGCTACCTCGGGCCATGCTCGCACATACTCGCCTTTGAAGGGCCAAGAGCCAGTTGTCATGAATAATGAAAAAGCAACGTGAATATATTTCCTTAGGTAGTTTGGCAGTATCAGGGGATCGTTGGAGGTGGATATGTGGAATGGCGGAGTGGGAAATGAGTGCACAAAAGAGAAGAATGTTTTTATGAGGAAAGTGTAATCTAAAAAATATCCATTTTCTTACACAATTAAAAAGAAAAGGTACAAATGAGATAATGCACAATGCTCTTGCTCCTCAAGATTTATGCTAGAAATCAGCCTTGCTTCTATATGGCTTTAAGTTTAGTAAGCGAATAAATGGACTCCTAAACATTTCTAAAATATGTCTTTTTAATAGTAATTATAGCGTTGTTTATTTAAGTTGTTTCCATCCTCTACCAGCGCAAATCTTTAGCTTACCTTTTTCAATTCTTTTTTTACTCAAGACAAGGTCCGCTTTCCTTTGGAATGTTGTATATTCGATGCTGTTTGCATTCGAAATTCCTTTGGCCCATCGTTGATGAAATCGAAATCAGCTAGGCAAATAAACCCCCCAATAAAGGAGCCGAAAGTGTCAATCGATGGTGATTTTATAAACGAGGGAAGGGGAGCGACTAGATAAATCTCAATGCTAATTAAAAGCGGGCTGCGTAAACTTTAAATGAACTGCCAGCCAGAAAGCCCAAATGACAGTCAATGTCAGATGAATGCAAAATAAACAAAAACCAAGGAGTATTTTTCGCTTAATGAAAAACTTGGCCCAACGCAACGAAAAGTTCAATTCAGGCAAATGTCAGCACAGACAGCAAAAACAACAGCAACAGCTTAGTGGGAGGATGAGGTGCCCAAACGAAAAGTTTTCCCAATCCCAATCCCAAAGAAAATGCGATGATATTCAGGGTAAGGAGAGGAGCGGACGGGAGAACGGGGGACTGCAATTTTAGCCTCAAACCAAAGACAACCAAAATGAGTCCCGGATGTGGTGCAAACAAGAAAAACAAAAATGCTAAACCAACAAAATATTACAAGAAACCGAGCAAAAGATGCTGCCGGCCCTCTGTTCAAACCGCAATACAGATAAAGGCCAAATTACTTTCTGGCCAAGAAGTTGCCGCCACGAACCGCAACTTGAAAACCATCGGGCAAACAAGAACGCAACCAAGGGTCATGCTGTACTTTTTCGATGAGTTTATAGGCGGCGATCCTTCGGGGAAAACTTCTCGTCGAGCTGGAAAGCCTGCCCTGGGGATCGGGAAAGCGAAAAAGTCTGACCCACATGGCTCTGGTGAGTGTGATTCATAAAGATCCTCGTTGAACTCGACTAGAGGTCGTCAGGGAATCAAACTGACTGGCAGATACGGAATTGTTGTTAAACTTATAGGTGGACAAGGAGCAGGAATTTAATAAAACATTCACGGTATTTTGAAAGATATACAAGAAAGAGTTATAGCCTTCAAAAAGGTTTTAAATACTATTAGAATAGATTGTGCTATTGGTATTTCATCATCAATGCCTTAAATAGTAAGAAATGTATATATTAATTATTAGTCTTATAAAAACATATTTTAATATACAATTTAACTTAAAATGATTACATTTAAAGGAATAACCCCAAAGCGATAAACCAAACTAAGCCCTGTCCTAATCACATAAAAATGTTCAAACTTTTTTCATCCACTTCGATTAGGAAAGTTTTGCTTTCCAACTTAACTCGAGCTAAAAACTTCACCTGCAATAATCATTTGCTGTTGGGCCATATAAAGTAGACATTAAAGTCACCTTACAAACCTCGACCCGAATGTAACCACAAAAACTGGCACACAACCAGGGTCCGAAATCCAAGAGCTTTCAATTGCAAAAACCCGTAACCAGACAATGTTCGCAGATGGGGAAAAGAAAAGTTTCCCATCTCCGGGTGGCCCTCTATCTGTGCCTCTGTTTCGGTCACAAATTGCAGTTACTTCTCGGTGACAACCACAAAAATAAGTGTTTACAGCATTGATTACAAGAAATGGGCGGTGGTTGAGTCAGTGTCACTAGCATCGGGAACATCAGTAGCAGAACTAGCACTGTTTGATGTTGATTAGAGCCGCACGAAGCCACAAACATTTTTGCATTTCTTAAGATTGTCTACAGGGCAGCTGCACTGACAAAAAAAGGCTACGCTTTCTAAAAGCTAAAATTTAATTTAAAATGAACAAATGAACAAATTAAACAAATGAAATGCTTAAATGCAGTGACTCTTTGGCAGTTGCTTTGAATATTAATATAAATGTCTCTTTGTTCTAAGAGTAGTTTAAAAATTAATTTCAAAGAGTTTTCTGAACTTCACATCAAACAGCTTGTGGACTGAGAAGCAATGACAATGTTATTAAATACTGTTTGCTCGTTATATTTTTTATGAAGCGTTATCGGGTTATTTGTAAATAACGTTTTTACCTCTTTTCATGTCTGTTTTATTTTTTTCTCCAGTTCTGCTTACCCGATTTCGGTCGACGATAGGTTATTTTAAAAATTGTATAATAAAAAATAATCCTAGATTTTTTCCTTTTTTTCTTCCGTGCACTGCCGTAGTCAGTTAGCGTGTCAGTAGGGCCAAGGGAATGACCAAGTCTGATGTTGGGAGCCTTTGGGGCTGGATGTGGGGTTGCTTTGGCTGTATTTGTCGGAATTGGTTTAGGTGTCAACTCTGCGGCCGCACACAATTGACAAACAGTGAAACCCTTTTTGTGGCACTTCCGTTGCGTTTGTTTGCTAGTTTACAACCCACCCATCGCCATCACCGCACCATTCCCTGGGCCATGTCCTTGTGCCGCTGGTGCTGCTGGTGCTGCTACTGCTGCCGGCTGGCTGTTGTGACAAAAGTTTATACACCAAGCATTTGAACTGCATTTCATTACGGCGAGGACCCCGGCAACTGGAACTGCTTCTGGACTTGTTGGCCAGGACAGGAGAGGGGATATGGAATGCAAATGGTGTTGGCGCCATATTGAAAGCTCTGCGAAACTCCCTACTTTCATTTCCCCCTCAATTTCCATTGCCCGCATTTGCAGCCGCAGCGTCAGTCTTTTGTGGTTAGCGACGGGGGGTTGGGTTGCCCAGGGGCTGGAAAATACCCAACGAAGCGTATAAGTGGCCCTTATCCCAACTCGAAGTTGGGGGCTGTATATTGTATTGGCAAATATTCTCATGACAATAGGAATTTTTATTGAATTTATGCAAAAAATTGCAAATTTCATTTGCCACTAACAAAAAGTGTTGTGTTCGCAGTTGTGTAGTGGATGAAAAAGGGAAAACATTTTCCATATTTATGCAGTATCGAGTATGTCGTTTTCCTGTGTGCGTGTCTAAATTTTGTGTTTATGAAAAGTGGGCGGAGCTGGAGCGGCAAGTGACACCAAATGAAATGGCTGAAAATGCATTCGAGTTTTGATTGAAATGTGCAATCAAAACAATAACTCCTTTTGTTTTTCCATGATATGCTTTTATTGCCACAGCTGAATTACACAACACAACTGATTTTCAATTTTCAATTGCCCTAAAAAACAATAAAAAAGGGGGTATGTAAATTCTAGAATTCCGTTTTTAGTTTCTCCAAAAAATAGTCTATGTACTTTTGATCCTTCTGCGATCTATTAAAAAGACGAGCATTGTCAATGGCAATATTGGATTCGGTCTCATTGTTGAGACGAGCAAGTGCTCCGGCCCTATAGAGCCAGGCTTTTAAATGCATTGGATCCAGCTTGAAGATCACATAGTCCAGGTCAAAAAGGGCCAGTTTGAAGTCCCTTTTTCTAAAAGGAGTACAGTTTTTACGCGAATTTGTATCACTTTAACTTACTTTATTTTGGCTAGTCCACGGTTGCAATAAAGAACCGGCGAATCGGACACATACTGTATGGCCTTTGAATAGTAAAATATAGCCTTTTCATAGTTTGTACGACGGTACTCCTCGTTGCCCAGTCTGTTTGGAAAACAAAATCGAGGTAACAAAGAACATAAGAACATTTATACAAGGAGTATATTTACGACCTTCAATAAAAACATAACTAAAATTAATATGAGTACCATTTGGCATATTTTGTTGGGTTGAGTGATTTTCCATTTTTTTTCTACACTAATATGACTACTCTCTAAATGAGTCTTTTCTGTATTACCTGCGAAAACTATCAGCAACATTTTCGCGATCTCTTCGGGCCTCCGCGCGTTCCTTTGGCGATCCATCGATTTGTCGCATGCAGGACAACTGGTTGATGTTGGAGTGCTTTTGGACTCGTTTAAAGGGTCGTGACGATTTCTTGCGAATGTCACGGGCAAACACCACAAAACTGGTGTTCGTCACACCCTCGGAGAGGTCCACCTCCGGCTTCTTTTCCTCTTTGCCCTTGGTGCCAGTGCTACGGAATGGAAAATGGATGATCCATTTGGATTAGCAGATCTACGAGAGATGTGCGAAAGAGTTTACTCCATTTTATTGGCATTCTGAAGGTCATCCAGCTGCCTTATTACGTCCATTAGTAGCGAACGTTGATCTAAGAAGCTTTCATCTGCATCCATTTCAGTTTTAAATATTTGATGTAATTGTTTAAGCACTCAGTGTGGGAGTCAACTAACACACTGTCGTTATATCCATGGCCAACTTGGATAATCTTTTCGAGAAAGCAATTATCATTATGTTCAGTCTAATGCCTCTTAGCTTCTTTGCACTGGCTGCGCTTGCAATGTGCAACATGTGCATGCCGGCAAATTAGACAGAAAAGCCAACTGACAGCTGGCTCGTAAGCCAAGGAGCAGCCTGTGGTTTTTCGGATTAGCTCAATTAAAATTTTGTGGCATTAAAATTGTCTCGCCAGACAGCAGTTACATGTAGGACAAGCCGTGCCACGTGGAATTCGATAAAAACATCATACGCCCACAACCACCACCACACACATTTTCATTTTTATTTGTGCCTGAAATTATTTAATTGAGTTTGTTTGAAAATTTCTTTTAAATTAAGAAAGTTTTTGCACGTGACGTTTTTTTTTCACTCTCGTGGTGATTCACAACTGTATTTGTCCCTGTGCAGAAGGGTGAGTTCGGTGGAAGGATTAGGTTTGACTGGGGCAGCACGTGCTACCCAGTTGGTAAAGTTTGTGCCCTTTTTCATTTTTTGGTTTTTATTTCACATCTAGAGCAATCCGAATGATAATAATTAGATTAAATCATGCATTTACCAGGACATTTATGAGAAAAGCTAGTCTAAAGTGAAAGCAGCTTAATTAATTTGTATGCAAACCAAAACATATAAGAAATATTGACCTGCGAGCTCGGAATCAATTTGAAATCGAAATTTTCTGTTTTGTAATCAACAAAGTACAAAAGGCATGAATAAAATTAGTTTTATTGCTAATGTGCATATGTTATTAAAAAAACAAACCAGTCTTGTTCAGTACATTTTAATTGGTTTCAGAAACGGGCAAATATTTTCTACAGAATTGTACATGGACTGGCTTATAATCTGTTATGTTAAATACAAAGAAAAATTTATGCTTTAATAAAAGTTTTTCAAATACTAATTAATTTTATTAAGTTTAATAACTACAACAGCCGCATGCGATAATCTGATTCCTAGCTTGAAAATCATAGTTATGTAATTTTGTTTCATCATTTTTTATGAGCACATCCCTTTGAAGCATATTTTTTTCAATTTTCGATTATATGTAGCGCACGTCTTGCTAAATTTGCTCATTAATATTGGTTAGTCGTCGCTGCAGCTTTGTGTTTCTCACCCTGGTTGGTCAGTGGTACAGTAACCGACTGCGTGGCTTGCAACACACCTTAACCCATTAGCATCTAAGATTTGTGTTATAAATGTGTACGAGATAGATCTTATAATACAAATATTTGTCAAATTGTTTTATACCTTGAACCAGTAAAAGTTTTACTTTTAAAAAACCGCTTAAAAAATTTATTTAAAAAAACTATTATAAATTTAATTAATTAATTTGCAGAAGGATAATATTAACTTTTTAATACTGAACATTTTAATTGTTTTTTGAAATGTGCAAACATAGGAAGAATAACTTATTTTTCTTCCGCCAATTTATTTATAATTTTCCTTTGTTTTCTCTTGGCGACATTTCGGGTTCAAAGCTTTGTTGGGTTAATAGGAATGGAATAGGGATGGACTGCTCGTACTAAATGTGCGAGCATTGCAAAAGCTTGGCATAGTTACAGGCGATACCATGATGCTGTCACGCGGACATTGATGACTGCGTTGACAAGTTGCTCTGGCACCAGGACGACAACAACGACGGCAGGACAGGAGGCACACAAGGACGTGCGAGCGTCTCCGGAGAAATGTGTCAAGCGCGGCGACTTGAGTTGCATAAGCAAGCAGGAAGTGGCAAGTCAATGGCAGGGACCAACTATTTTGCTATCTGGCCCAACGTTAAGCTAGCCATTGTTTCGAACTTTAAGCTTTGCCTTTCAGTTCCCTCCCTGCGAAACTATCTTAAAGTTCAGGCTTAAGTTGGATGGGCTTTCGCTTGCGCTATCAAGAACGCTGACCGCCTGCAGCAGTGTGACTTTTCAGCTCACCTTTTCACCTTTGAAACTGGAAGAAAGATACAACGGAAGAAAAATTGTTGATGAAAAGCCGACAAAATACACTTTTGGACTTTTGGATACTCTTTGATATTTACCCTTGATTAAACATATTTTTATGAAAAACTAAATTAAACAGAGCTTTGATTTCTAGTGGTAGAGATAGTTCATTTTGAAAAGTACGGGCTTAGTTAATATTATTTTTAAAGTTAATTTATTTTTATTATAACTTTGTTTTATCTTCCACTGGAAATCCTAATAAGTAGCTCTAATTTTCCAAAGTAACGTCTATTTTCAGATTTCTCTTTATCTTAAACTGATTTCAGACGCATTCAAGCAGTGCTTTATACCTTTTACCCTCTCTGATTCCAGGGTATTTCCCGAAAAGGGCGTGTGCCAGTCAAGAGTTCAACTCCAGCGACAGGCGGTATGAAGCCAAAGACAAGCAAAGATTATACATTGCCCAGCCGGCGGGCATGCTTTGTAAGCGAGCTGGAAAAAAAGGAGCAGCAGGGCGCGAGGAACGTTCAGAAATAAATTGCATAAACGCTGGCGCGCGCGGTAAAAAAGCAAAAGGCAAACATGTTTAAAATGTTGTTATTCACACACAACGAGCAGAACTGGAGAACCACCGAAAGGACCTCCAACTTCGTCCTTGCCCCGCCACCAAAAGGCTGCCCCACTAAACTGACACAAAGATTTGCCTGCGCCCTTTTGCAACATTGTTTGTGGGCCTTGTTTCTTGATTTTTACCCGCTTTCCCTTTGTACTTGCCCCACCCTATGCGCTATCTACCTCTCGGCGTGTTTTATTTACCTTGTTAACCTTTTCATGTTGACAAACTGCGGAAATGCTGGTGTATGTGCTTGTAAGAAGAAGAAATGAAAAGTGGAAATCTGTGGAAATTTGTTATAAGCGGAGCGCTTTGGAAAGATATAACAAAAATATTGCAAAATATTTATATATCGTTTGTGGGTCAAAATCACCAGTCATTCTATATGCCCATAAAACTTTAATCTGACGTTGCATATATTTTTCGTAAATTTCATTAATTTTCAAACGCAATCAAAGCCGCAACGTTTTATTAAAAAAAACTGAAAGGCAATTTGAGTACACCAATTTAATATGCAGCAAGCAACACGCAAATAAAATTTGAATTCATTTTTGGCCCGCCACTTCCCGTACATATATTTTTTAATAAGTTTATTGAGCGAGTCAAAGGCAGGCTTATATTATACTTATCAAGTATACGCCATGTGTTGCTCGCAGCAGAAGCAGCAACGAGGAGAAACCAAATTAAATTCTAAATTAAAAAATAAGATCAAAAGGATTTGGCAGCTTGCGTATAGGCAGAGAAGTAAGAGGAAGAAGCATTTTTCATTCAATTTGTTTCTGTTTCGTAACTTTTAATATTGCGCCGCAGAATTTGCATTTGGTATTTGCATGTTGAGTGTGCGCTGGCGTCCTTTATTGTGTGTGTTCCCAGGAGAGGATAAGCGTATTAACATGCAAGGCATATTAGGGATAAATGCAACACAGCAGACACACACGATTTTGTGGGACAAAACAGGACAAAACCAATAATGCGCATATTAGACTTGATGATGATGACAATGATGATGTGCCCGCCCTTTGGACCCGACTACCTCAAAGCTTTATCTCTCTTTTTATACCCTCATATGGGGTATTACACATTTGACTGCAAAGTAGACGCATAATAGATGCCTTAACCATCTGGACAACCTAGTCTTCTTGAAAATAATTTTAGTCCGCCTATCAGGTATAGTTAAAATTGAATTCTTGGTTGCGAAATCCCTCAATAACATCAAAACCCATATTTTAATCTAGAATCTAGATTTAAATCTAATCGATGATAATCAATTACAATTAAACCCAATTAATATGTTCACAAAGGAACGAAAGAGTAATTTAGAAATATTTTTCTCAATTCAGCTTAAGTGATGCCGGAAAGGGTATTCCAAGCTTAGGCTCATTTTCTGGCAGATGTAGTCTCTTTGAAACTGATGTTGCTGTGGCTATTGTTTCTTTCGAATTGACCGCAGTGAGCTCATGTCGGTTGCATTTTGTTTGTGTGCAGAGCTGGGCTGCATTTTGATGGCGGATGAAGGACAGGATGTGAAGGACGAGGACCGGCACTTCGTCTAAACCAAAAACGTGCACAGTCTCTGGCAATCAACTTTAATAACATCACAGAATGTCAATAAATCCACAGAATGGTTGAGCCATCCTTGCACTAACTCCCGCCACACCTCTCATCCTGATGGTGTGGTATCCTTGCATCAGATGATGATGATGATGATGATGATGATAATGATGCTCGTGCCGGGACTTTTGCTGATGTCCAGCAAGAGTATCATTAACAAAAGGAACTGCGTGCTGCAGCTGACCAAAAAGAGATGCCACAATGCCGGACCATCTCCCTTGCTTCCCATTATTCCACTCACCACCCATACAGGCATTCCCTTCTAACCGGATGAAAACTACTCGAGCTGCTTATTGGATAGTTCTCTCCCCCGGCCTCTGGTTGGTCAAAAGGTCTGCAGCAGTCGGTAAGTAAAAAACCTAAATTCACCACACCCAAATTTTTGCCAAAACAAAAGCCTGGTATTCTGGCTTACCAACGATTCGGCAGTCCGAGGAACTTATGTGTTAAAACTCATTGAAAAAAGCTTTAAGAAAATTATGATGCTTTGGCTTAAGCTAAAGAAACACAAAAGACGTCTTTTAAAAAAAGATTAAAAAGCGGATAGTAAAACAATGTTTTTTAGCCCGTTACCTTTATCATCAGTCCCAATCACAGGCAACAAATCAAAGGCTTGCGCATTGATTTGACAACTCCTATTTACAATTAAATATTTAATGAATTATTTCAACTTATCGGAGCTGCAGCACTGCAACCCGAACCCCCGAGGTTTGAAAGCTGTAAATGTGCGGGTATTTACAGAACACACGCTGACCATAATATATGGTTAAATCTGTGTTTTATTTATCCACACACAATTGACACTC